AAAATGCATATCACAACATTCAACGTGTGAAAACACAAGAGGCATTTCAGCAACTCATCACACAACTAATCACGACCCCGCCGCAATGTATTCTGTAGGTAGCTCATGAGCTTACGGCTAGTGTGACTCACAGAACTCAAGGACAAACAGATAAAGAGTCTCAGCTGACAGGTATAGTGCATGGACCCGCCAGAAGACCACACTTTTCTCGGGCCATTATCTCCGTAACCGTTCAACTTTGGACATAGGTGTTTTGGGTTATATCGGCATACTTTAACATAAGGAACACCCTCCTGAAGTTTGGTCCATTCCTCCTGGGACACCCTGTATATATACTATACTAGAAGACGGAAGGTCGCGGGTTCGATTCCCGATGCGGCCATTGAAGTTCTTCAATTGACTTAATCCTTCCTGCCGCACTACGGCATTGGGGTCGACTCAGCCTCTAACAGAAATGAGTACCAGGAATCTTCCTAGGGGTAAAGGACGGCCAGAGCGTAAGGCTGACAACCTTACAGCCATCTTTGGGCCAGTTATCTACAAAATGTAGGACCCTCGAAGTCTCACAACTCTATGGGCCTCCACGGCCTGTTACACGGATAACTTTACCTTTTCTTTTTAACTTTTATAAATATAGAATTAATATCATATTGCAGACTCTGTGGTCTAATGGTCAGAGTTTTGTTTCACTTCATATTATATAGACTGGTATTTATCTGATGTATGAGGGTTGTTCAAATGAAACACATTCTCCTGTTGAGCCTTGTTCGGTGTTGCAAAGTCTCCAGCAGCTACCCAGGAGGACCCATCAGTTGGTACGTCAAGGCCCATGAGGGTTATCTTCAGCAGCTTCCATTCCTTCGCTCCGAAGAATAGCAGAACGGGTTTCAATTGAATGACCCCCATACGCAGTGAAGAAACATGTGGAAGCATGTCGCTCGGTCGGTATAATTCGCTTGCAGACTACAAGCCACGAAGTGTTTTCATTGTTGTTTATATATATATATATATATATATATATATGTCATGTGATAGATTCATATATTGCAATTTTTCAGGTGAATCCACCTTCCAGAGATGCAAACTTTCCCTCGTATACTCCGCCGTGTTCTACGTGGCTGTGAGTGTGTACGCCTATCACGTGTCCAGAGAGAGAATAGAATTCATCAGATACTCCGAAGCTAGTTTTGATGACCTCATATATTCGGTGATACATTTTCTGTATGTGATTCCCCACTTCTACCTCATACCTTGCCACTGGAAGGAAGTCACTAAAGTTGGGGGCTACTTTGCGCGCTGGTCTCAATTTCAGGTGAGACTGAAACACTGTTTAATGACACCAGGTGGTATCAATAAAATTATTTCATACGAAATATCGAGAAAAAATAAGAAATCGGTATCGATACGTATTTAACTTATCGATATACAGAATAATTTCTTGGTAACTTGTACTTGCTGTTATTCCAGCTCGTCATTATCACAATTCTACAGTCCGTGTTGGTCTAGTCCATTAAGTGAGATAGGGACTACAAGGTATGTATGGGTTTGTTAGGGCTTTTAGTTGCATTGCGTCATCATACTTCTGACATTGCAGTTGTAACCACTATCCCGCTACTTCTTTCCGTCCTTCTTGCTTTTTTTCATGCTTCACCCAAAAGCCAGATCTAAAAGCTCGTCCTGTACAGTGTGCAGAACTGAACTTTTAGTGACTGTACAGGAACATTCTATAGCTTACTGTAGGTGTAGAGAGGCTGTAAAGCTATTTAGGTTCCTGCTGTCACCGTACAGCCTGACAGGGGCCTCCAACAGTGTGCAGAAATGCACTTTCCGTGACTGTACAGGAACATTCTATAACTTACTGCAGGTGTAGAGAGGCTGTAGAGCTATTTAGGTTCCTGCTGTCACTGTACAGCCTGACAGGGACCTGCAACAGTGAGCAGAACTGCACTTTTCGTGACTGTACAGGAACATTCTATAACTTACTGCAGGTGTAGAGAGGCTGTAGAGCTATTTAGGTTCCTGCTGTCACTGTACAGCCTGACAGGGACCTGCAACAGTGAGCAGAACTGCACTTTTCGTGACTGTACAGGAACATTCTATAACTTACTGCAGGTGTAGAGAGGCTGTAGAGCTATTTAGGTTCCTGCTGTCACTGTACAGCCTGACAGGGACCTGCAACAGTGAGCAGAACTGCACTTTTCGTGACTGTACAGGAACATTCTATAACTTACTGCAGGTGTAGAGAGGCTGTAGAGCTATTTAGGTTCCTGCTGTCACTGTACAGCCTGACAGGGACCTGCAACAGTGAGCAGAACTGCACTTTTCGTGACTGTACAGGAACATTCTATAACTTACTGCAGGTGTAGAGAGGCTGTAGAGCTATTTAGGTTCCTGCTGTCACTGTACAGCCTGACAGGGACCTGCAACAGTGAGCAGAACTGCACTTTTCGTGACTGTACAGGAACATTCTATAACTTACTGCAGGTGTAGAGAGGCTGTAGAGCTATTTAGGTTCCTGCTGTCACTGTACAGCCTGACAGGGACCTGCAACAGTGAGCAGAACTGCACTTTTCGTGACTGTACAGGAACATTCTATAACTTACTGCAGGTGTAGAGAGGCTGTAGAGCTATTTAGGTTCCTGCTGTCACTGTACAGCCTGACAGGGACCTGCAACAGTGAGCAGAACTGCACTTTTCGTGACTGTACAGGAACATTCTATAACTTACTGCAGGTGTAGAGAGGCTGTAGAGCTATTTAGGTTCCTGCTGTCACTGTACAGCCTGACAGGGACCTGCAACAGTGAGCAGAACTGCACTTTTCGTGACTGTACAGGAACATTCTATAACTTACTGCAGGTGTAGAGAGGCTGTAGAGCTATTTAGGTTCCTGCTGTCACTGTACAGCCTGACAGGGACCTGCAACAGTGAGCAGAACTGCACTTTTCGTGACTGTACAGGAACATTCTATAACTTACTGCAGGTGTAGAGAGGCTGTAGAGCTATTTAGGTTCCTGCTGTCACTGTACAGCCTGACAGGGACCTGCAACAGTGAGCAGAACTGCACTTTTCGTGACTGTACAGGAACATTCTATAACTTACTGCAGGTGTAGAGAGGCTGTAGAGCTATTTAGGTTCCTGCTGTCACTGTACAGCCTGACAGGGACCTGCAACAGTGAGCAGAACTGCACTTTTCGTGACTGTACAGGAACATTCTATAACTTACTGCAGGTGTAGAGAGGCTGTAGAGCTATTTAGGTTCCTGCTGTCACTGTACAGCCTGACAGGGACCTGCAACAGTGAGCAGAACTGCACTTTTCGTGACTGTACAGGAACATTCTATAACTTACTGCAGGTGTAGAGAGGCTGTAGAGCTATTTAGGTTCCTGCTGTCACTGTACAGCCTGACAGGGACCTGCAACAGTGAGCAGAACTGCACTTTTCGTGACTGTACAGGAACATTCTATAACTTACTGCAGGTGTAGAGAGGCTGTAGAGCTATTTAGGTTCCTGCTGTCACTGTACAGCCTGACAGGGACCTGCAACAGTGAGCAGAACTGCACTTTTCGTGACTGTACAGGAACATTCTATAACTTACTGCAGGTGTAGAGAGGCTGTAGAGCTATTTAGGTTCCTGCTGTCACTGTACAGCCTGACAGGGACCTGCAACAGTGAGCAGAACTGCACTTTTCGTGACTGTACAGGAACATTCTATAACTTACTGCAGGTGTAGAGAGGCTGTAGAGCTATTTAGGTTCCTGCTGTCACTGTACAGCCTGACAGGGACCTGCAACAGTGAGCAGAACTGCACTTTTCGTGACTGTACAGGAACATTCTATAACTTACTGCAGGTGTAGAGAGGCTGTAGAGCTATTTAGGTTCCTGCTGTCACTGTACAGCCTGACAGGGACCTGCAACAGTGAGCAGAACTGCACTTTTCGTGACTGTACAGGAACATTCTATAACTTACTGCAGGTGTAGAGAGGCTGTAGAGCTATTTAGGTTCCTGCTGTCACCGTACAGCCTAGTAAGTATCTGCAAAAATATTAATAATTGTACGCTCCGCTGATTGGCACAGATGGCAGGTCGCGTAAATTTATGTAATATTTTAGTTAAGAGAGCACTCAGTACGCTACAAGCCGGTAGATCACGGGTTCGATTCCCGATGAGCTCATTTAATTTCTGAGTTTACCTAATCCTTCCATCCGCACTATGGCCCTGGGGTCGACTCAGACTCTAACAGAAATGAGTACCAGGAATCTTCGTGGGGGTAAAGTGCGACCGGCGCGTAAGGCTGACAGCCTCACCGCCATCTGTGAGCCGATTGTCTATACCCTGTAGGCCTGTTACAGGGATAGCTTTACCTTTTATCCTGTTTTTTTTATTACTAGTGGGGTGGGACTAAGTCCCTTGTACTGCGGCCACTTCTGGCCTATTGTACCAGCCCCAGATGATAGGTGAGGGTGATTGTGGAGCAATTGGAGGAATGAAGATTGGCAGGGGAAACCGAAGTACTCGGAGAAAACCTAGCCGAGCGCCACTTTGTCCACCACAAATCCCACTTGACCAGACCCGGGATCGAACCACCTTTTACCCTTACTGTTTTACTTGTTGGTGACTGTATGACCGGTTCTGACAACCGCTGTCTCTCTCCACTTCAGAAGCAGTTCCTGTGTGCTACTGAGAAACAGCTGTACCTGGGGCAGAACCGACGGGCCAAGTGGTCCGTGGTTCTGATTCCTGTACTGGCATTGCTCTTCGCTGTGAGCGAATACTTGCTGTCTTCTGCTGAAGAGAAGTATTGGGAACTTGGATTTTATTGGTACATCTTCACTGTCATATTGCTGCATGTGGTCTGGTGGTGGTTCGTCTGTTCCTCGTTGCGCGGCGCCATATACAACATTTCAGAGAATTTCTTCAACTGTCACGTGTTTCAGAAAGTAAGTTTTTTTTCTGATACCGCATTGTGAATTGGACTTAACGCCTTGTGTGTGTGTGTGTGTGTGTTCTTTTTTTCCCGACTTGACGTGTGGAACGTCCGATTCCTCATTCCCAAAATAATTTAATTTAATTTAATTAATAATTCCCAAATAATTTAAAAAGTGGTTCAGTGACCGTCTCTGTGATCTAGTGGTCAGAGTTCCTGGCTACAGATCCAAAGGTCCGGGTTTGATTCCCGGCACTACCAGATTTTCTGAGAAGTAGTGAGTCTAGAACGGGGTCCACTCAGCCTCGTTAGGATAATTGAGGAGCTATTTCAAGGAAATAGCGGCTCCGTTCTAGAAAACAGAAGTTAACGGCCGTGGGGATTCGTTGCGCTGACCACGCGACACCCTCTATCCGCTAAAGTTGGCACTAACTTCGCCGACAAGCGGCGGTCGCTCGGTCGGTATAGTTCGCTTGCGGACTCAGGCCACGGAGTTTGTTATGTGTCTTTAGACAATAATTTCGCTCTCTGTCACACTTGTGCGACATCACCCATGCTTGGCAATTCTCACAGCCCCGTAGACGCTACAATCGAGTGATGATTTCTTTCTATCCAGGGTACTTTCAGTTTCGCGCAAGAGAGGTCGGCGAAGTTGGTACGCCAATACAGAGACCTGTGGGTTAGTCTGAACAGACTGTCTCGTGAGACAGGTCTCTTCATGTGCTACACTTACGGACACATGTGCGTCCTGTCTTTCTCTGTCGTCACGTTCAGTCTGTACGGCACACTGTCCAATGTGCATGATGGTCTGTACATGCGTCACATGGGGCTGGCCATGGCTGTTTGCGTCATCGGAGGAATAACTTACGTCATCTGTAACGTGGCTCACCATGCCGCCAGCGAGGTCAGTCTCTCAGCCGACTTTTTGCGTATTTGATCCAGAAGTGTCAGCTTCCGTCCCCGTAGTGACCAGCTGCCATGTTAGGCTGTCAGACCTGTTCTTCTTTCTTTAGTAAATAATATATAAAATTCATATGTAGCATAAAACCACCTCCACATGATTCTTCACTGAGTATGGGGGGTCATTCAATTGAAATCCGTTCTGTTATTCTTCGGGGCGAAGGAATGGAAGCTGTTGAAGATAGCACCCATGGGCCTTGACGTAGCAACTGATAGGTCCTCCACACAAAGGGTTCCTTGGGCAGCTGCTGGAGACTTTGCAACACCGAACAAGGCTCAACAGGAGAACGCGTTTCATTTGAACAACCCTCATACGTCAGATAAATACCAGTCTATACAATATGAAGTGAAACAAAAAAAAATATATAGAATCAAAATTTCCGACACTTGGCACTTTTATGATAGTGTCTAATGAGATTATGAAATGGTAATGAATGTTCGTAGGTAAAAATCTGGAAGGATACGATCTTGGCTTGTGTCATGCTACCATCATGGCATTCGTTGACCTGAAATGAATGAGAGAGATTTATTCAAAGATCATTTAACTTTTTCGTTCCTTCTGCAGGGATTCAGTGGTGTTGAGTAATGTGATAATTTGATTATGACAGCTAATAACTTACTTGGCCGGTCACGGTAGCCGAGCAGTCTAAGGCATGTACTGTCTTCGCTCGCTCGGAAGCCGGGATCGTGGGTTCGAATCCCACGCAAGGCATGGATGTTCAGTGTTTGTGTGTGTATCATTTTGCTGTGTTTGTGTACAGATAGAGGCCTTGCGACGAGCTGATCACCCGCCCAAGGCGTCCTACCGAATGTCTCAGATGTAGTAAACCGAAGTGAAACGGAGTTTCATGGAGGTAGGCCAAGGCCAAAATTGGGGCTGTAGCGCCAAAGAGGAAAAATAACTTGTTTGTGGTTTATGTAAAATTTCAAATTATAGTTTCAATTGTAGATAATTAATGAAGAATGAATTTGAAATATGTTAAAGGAAGCGATAAATTTGTGCCAATAATTTTAGCGAAAACAAAATTGCAAATAACTAATTTGGGAACTCGGTGTAGTCCTTAATATTTCGTTAATTATGTGCATGTGTGCAGGAGAGGTCACAAGTTGAAGTTCTGCATTACAGGTAGGTCCGGAATTCAGAGAGAGATTGTTGCATCTGACTTCTGCAGACAAACAAGTAAGACGTGAGGTAAGAGATAAAGAGTCCATTGCCCTGAATCATTCAGTCTGCATTTAATATGGCGGTTGAAATTCAGCTCCGTTTCTTCCATAGCTCAAGATATTTATCCGAGCCACGACGATAAGTTCTTCTGAAATCAACCTCGGTGGTTACGTCAGAATTGACAGGAGTTTCTTGTTAAGGGTAAGATCCACAGAACCTGCAAAATAATCGTGAGTAATTTATGTTTGACATTCTCACAGCAGTAACTCTGAACATTACTGTCTTTTGGGACCTGAAGCAGCTTAGAGCTTCGTCGACGTTTCGGAAGAACCACTTTCGAAATAATTTTGTTATTTATTTGAAGCTCCCTCCTGAAATAGAGTTCATCTGAGACGTTAGTGATCTTCTACCAGACATGTTGTCACATCCCAGAACACCGAAGTCTTCGTACAATTTTTGTTTTCTTTTTTAGAGACGAAATTAAAATAAATGTAGATCAAATAATGAACCTTTATGGTAGTAATACTGTTTGTTTTATTTCTTCCCAGTTTACCTGCACGATGGTGACGTATCTTATCGTCTTGCTACAATTTCGGCTTGGTCTGCTCAGCATCAGCGCGTCCAATATCACCATGGTAACGACATCCGTGTTGTAGGCCAGGCGAAGTATCGCTCTTTTGAAGAATTTCATGCCTTATTCTCACCATGTAATAAATTTATCTTACCCTTCATTGATATTAAATTGTATTCGAGACCTAATCCTTACAGCCGCACTAGGCCCTGGGATTTACTCAGCCTGTAACAGAAATGAGCATAAGTAATCTTCCTGGGGAGTAAAGCGCGGCCGGCGCGTAAGGCTGACAAGCTTACCACCATCTGTGAGCCGATTGTCTAGAAAATGTGGGACCCTCAACATCTCACAACCCTATGGGCCTTCACGGTCTGTTACAGGGATAGCTTTACTTTTTTACTTTACACCGAGGGAATAAGATTTAAATCCACCCACCGGGGGAAGTCACACGGTACCATATCCTACTGAATGCAGACCTCACACACAACACAACCACACAAAATTTTAGAAACAACGGAATTATTTTTTATTTTATTTTAACTGCAAATAGATTTATACCCGGTGGCAGTGATAACTACAATAAAAGACAACACACAACTAACACGCATCACACAAAATAACACACCACACTCAAACAAAACACTTAACACAAAACTACAGAAACAATAATGGACACACTACATAAAACGAATACAATTCAAATACGACTACAAGTACAACTGAAACAATTACAAATACAATTAAATAAATTAATACTTACTTACTCACTCCTGGAACTGAGCCCTTCTGGAGGAGCCGCCAATTCTGCAGCTACTCCAGGATTTTCCAGCATTTTATGGAACCGGAAGGTTCATTACCGTGTTCACAAGAGCCCTCCATTGGTCCCTATCCTGAGCCAGATCGATCCAATCCATACCATCCAATCCTATCTATTAAATAAATTAATAATGATAATAATGATGGAAACGAGTATCAATTGAAAATGGATTTAATTTAAAATAATTTTTACATATTATTTCCTTGTTACTTATTATCTTTCTCACATGCAAATTGTCTTTTATAAACTTTTAAACATTACTGGTGTATGCGCATGGCATGTTTCGACCAACATTGGTCATCTTCAGATGTCTCAAAACTTGCTGATGAAACTGCTGTGCTTCCTTCCGTAAATTAAATTTTTGGGTTATATACCCTCGTCTATATGTCCATGTGTCCTGTGGTGATGCGTAGTTCCTCCCATTGTATTGTGTGTATCACGTGAGATTGACCTTCAACGGACTACACAGCGTTATATTCCAGAAGCTAGAACTCTTCATAACCACCGGTGACAGACACTCAGATCCTGCATACGGGGGTAAGAGAATTGTTACTTGAAGCGTCAGGAAATGTGCAGTTACATTACGCCCTGTGCGGCGTGGTGCTGTTTCATGTCATGTTACATGCTATCCCACAGCTCGGACAGCGGTGAAGATAGCCCCTCGCACGGTCGTCTACATGTGACCGTATAGAAGCGTTCTTTCGCACAAATAGGATTCCCCCCACTCTTGACGACGTTGGGAGGTGGGCAGAACCGACCGCATGTATTGTCCCAACCGGAACCGTGCCGAGGCGCGCATCCAATCCGCCCGCTGATGTCGTTGCAGGGCTTCTGCCCTACCCTATAAAATGAATTTTTCAGAGGAGCGGTTTGCACAGTCCAATAAGGCAGATAATAAAAAACTAAGATGTTACATTTTTTACTACACTTCGTGGCTTTCCATGAGGTTTTAGTCTCGATTGTTCAGGTTTGACTCCACAGATGGCGCTATCATTAGATACTACATGTCTTCACAAAACTGTTTCCATTTCTATGCATTGCTGCTCATGTACTTGCTTTTGTTAGCTAGATTTGTAGCAAAAATTTCTACCTCCTTTACTATCCTAGTTCCACGCATGTGCGTGTTTTATAACAGTTTTCATTTTATATTTTCTAATTAATTCGCGCTGAATTAGCTTGGTCTCCAGTGATTAAATAGCTGCGTGATATTACGGTGAGGTCGGTCCACTAGGTCAGGCAGTTAGAAATTAAACTGCTACATTTTTTTATTACGCTTCGTGGGTTTGTATGAGGTTTTGCTATATATGTGGCCCTACAGTACCTTCTGTTATAACCAAGTGAATTGCATAGCCCAATAAGGTAGATAATAAGAAACGAGGCTGCTACATATTTTATTACGCTTCGTGGGTTTCCATGAGGTTTTACTCTACAGATGGCGATACAGGTATTTTATATTTTCTTGTTGTCGCCGATTTAGCCTGTTCTTGAGTGACTAAATAGCTGCGTTGTAACCGTACGTCCCTCGCTAAAATTATTTAATTGGGTTATAATTTAACATGGGTTATGATAGACGGCTATCTCTCGTTATTTTTGTTTTATTTTATTGACACTGTGGGACTTGTCTGAAAGAGACAGTGAGCGAGTGATAGGAAACAGTGGTGTACAGTAGTTGAAAAGAGACGCAGAAGAGAGAATGGGAGCGGCGGGGTAGAGTAGATGAAAGAGGCCGCTGGACAGAGAATTGGATTGGTCTGCGAGAGGTGGACTGTAGCCGCAAGAGAATTGGGAGACAGTGGGTAAGCTGGAAGCGAACTGGTGTGACCAGTGCCTAGAAAAGTTAAGAGAGACGGAGCGGAAAGCTTTGAAGAACTTATGTAAATGGTGACAATAAATGTGAGCAATTTGAATATGAAAGAGTAATACACGGTGTGGGTTCTGGAGACCCTGTAAATCATAACCCCTAAATGTGTTCCCCTTCCGGTATCCGAAGGCCCTGTATCCCTGGGACAAAGGTTTCATCTCGAGCAATAGTCGTGGCGGCTGCAGTGAGAATTGGCGCGTCCAACCTGGTGCACGTAACAGCGGAAGAGACCGGGAATCTGCAAGCTGCACATCGCGGAAACCTCGAGGAAGAGGACCAACTTCGTGGACTGGAAAAGTGAACAAATATATCGTGCACGGTTAGTTGGACTGAGCTATATTAAACTTAAAAGTTAGAAGACAATCATACATAACGAAAAAGAAATCGAAGTGACATACAGAACGGGGGAGAAATAGAGGGAGGAGTAAACGTGATGAGTGAGCAAGTAGAGACAGAAGCCGAGTTACAGACTCGAAACCAACAGACGAAAAGTGCAGAAAGGGGGAGACGGATAGTACAATAGACATACAGGCCATGTTGTTAACCTTTATGGAAAAATTGGAGGACAGAATCATGAAAATGGAAAATGACATAAGAGAAAACGGGAGTAAAATGGAAAATAGTATTAAAGAAGACGTGCGTGAAATGTTGGCTGCATTGGCAAGGGACTCGGAACGTAAAATGAACAACAAAATACAGTCCGTGAATAAGGAAGTTAAAGCCATATCTGAGCGCACCCACGGCCAGATTAAAGCGCTGACCGAAGTGGTGAGACATAACAAATCTGAAAGCAACAGTAACATGGAGTCTCTGCGCAATGACGTGACAACAGTTCAAGCACAAATAGAACTATGTATATGAGAGGATGTCCACGTTCGAGACCAGAGTGACAGATTTGAGGGCCATGACGGAACAGCCGCAGATTACAGTAAGTTCGGAAATTGAGAAGATTAATAACAGAGTAACTAACGCGTGTGACGAATTAAGGGGCCAGCTAGAACTCTTACAGAACTCAAGTCAGGAGAGTAGTAACGGTAACGATGCAAGCACTAGTGACGTCATGCCTGACAGCTGTCGAACCGACACCTCGGGTGCACATGCCTCGTCGAATTCTTGTATAAATACCAGTATGTCAACGGCAACGCAAACGGTGGACCTCTACGTGAGTCATGTACAACATCTCTATATTTTTCGGTAAGAGGATTCGATACAGAAATGATCGAAGTCAATGCCTTCACAACATTTATTAGAGCATGTCCTTCATTGAAAAGTGAGCGATTAAGCTCTAAGATGAAATGTACCGTCCACAGAGCATTATATATGTGTGTAATGTCGTATGCTTGCCTTGGGATTTGCGGCAAATACCCACGTTTCGAAAGTGCAGCCCTTAGAAATCGAGGCTCTCCGCAACGACAAGAATATCCCAAGGCGCAGAGCGGTCAGCAACCAGAAGCCACAGAAGATCGTGAAAATGCAAATTTCCGAATACTGGATAAGGTGCAGCCCGACAGAACACGAGGCTTAAATTTTGCGGCGGTGAAGCTTATGATTGTTGAGGTGACTAAATTGCCGGTCTAGCGTGAGCTAATGAAAATAAGGCAGAATCTGTTGTGGACTGACAGGAGGCTTTATATATATTGCCAGTAATTGACTGTGACACGTGAGAAGGGATAGACCCGTCTTGTCATCAGAAAGGATTCCTATTAAAGGGCAAACAGTGAAGCTTACTTCAAGACTAAGATCTGGACAAGAGCGTCTGAATGGGCTCCAAATTAAGAGAAAGTGACTGGCCAACCGTCAGTCGTAAATTTTCTTTTGAAACGAAGCAAGAAGTAAAGAGGAATTTTGTAAAAGTAGAAACGAAGCGGTAGGATATGTGGAAGACGAAGGCGAATAGTTCTCATAACCGTGGCGGGCCTTTGGTAAGGCACTGGTGTATGGTTTAGAAGGTACGTGGTTCGAAGACACGACTATTTTTGTGAATTTTTTTATTTATTTAATCAGCAATCAGAACATGCATTCTATAAGCTAATGAATCCTCAGTAATTCAAATCAGGTCAATTGGCCAGTTTCGTTTGAGTCGTCTGTTGTCTTCTCTTGTCGATAACGACTTTAGGAGTGGGTTTTTATGAGTTATGATTTTGTTGTATGACGTCTTGTACGGACGATATACCGAGATCGGTGTGGAGAGTTGCGTTGGAGACATATCATGGTGCGTTGACTGTCATTCGTAGGATCTTACATTGATTTTTTTGGGATTATTGCTGTATTAGATTTGCTGGCGCAGCCCCATAATTCCAGGCCGTACGTCCAAATAGGTATAAAAAATGTAAGAAATTTGTGCATGTAGGAAGCAAGTGGTACTATATGAGAAAGGTGAAGGTAACAAATTTGTATAGGTCTGGTGGTACATGGGTAAGACATTGGCGAAGTATTGGGAAGGTACGGGGTTCGAGACCACGGTGTCTTTTGTTAATAGAAA